TCTGAGGACACTCCTCCAGGGCTGCCACCTCCACAGCGAGGCTGCTCAGTTCCCAGGCTTCAGGCTCCACTCTTGTCTGTTGTTGAAGATAATAAAAGCTCATTATTTATTTTTCAAATGTATTTATTTTTTATTTCTGAATAATACATGCATGTGTTCCAAATTTAAATGGTATATAGGCTTTAATTATGAAAACTTCCTTCCTGTCTCCTCCCCCAGCTTCCCCAGTTCCCTTCCCTGATGGCTACCAATGTTACCAGTTTCTTGTTAGGTCTTCCAGATTATATATATCAAGCAAATAGAGGGCTTTTTACACAAATGCTCTACACATTCATCTGCACATTGCTTTATTGTAACAGTATGAAACTAATTATTTTAGTGTCAAGTACATTTGGCATATCTGCACCAAAAGGTGTGTGTTTATATCACCTGAGATGGTTTGTTGATTGGGAAAAGGGGTTCCATCATATTTAACTTGATTGGATCTTACTGGCCAAACCCTAAGAATTTCCCAGAGTGACTCAGAAAATTGTTAAGAATATAAGGAAATTACTGTACTGAGTCGGCTACCCACACCCCAAAATATCCCTCACTTCCTTCCTCTTCCTGGTTAAGCACAGCCCAGTGGGCCTCAGCAAAAGCAGCTCAGCCTGTCGGGGTGGGGCCTGCAGCTAAGGCAGAGCTCATCTTGTTCTCTGCTGAGCACAGTGGAGCTAGATCTTGCTCACAGGTTGTGTTCCTCCCTATCCAGCAGGTTCTATTGCTGTTATCAGGGTTCCAGAAACTCTCTATTCATTTCTGGTCTCTTTCCCTATGGGTTGGATTTTCCCCCCACACTCCACACCCCTTTAAAGAGCAGCCAATCCCAGGCCCAGAATGAACCCATCCCAGGTGCTCATCAATAAACGCTCCTGGAGCTTCCTCAAAAAACTAAAAATGGAACTCCCATTTGACCCAGTGATCCCACTTCTAGGAATATATCCCAAGAAGCCAGAAACACCAATCAGAAAGGATATATGCACCCCTATGTTCATAGCAGCATAATTCACCATAGTTAAGATTTGGAAACAGCCTAAGTGCCCATCAGAAGATGAGTGGATTAGAAAACTGTGGTACATCTACACAATGGAATACTACGCTGCGGTAAAACAGAAGGAACTCTTGCCTTTTGCAACAGCTTGGATGGAACTGGAGAGCATTATGCTAAGTGAAATAAGCCAGTCAGTGAAAGATAAATACCACATGATCTCACTCACTTGTGGAATATAGAGAACAACATAGACTGATGAACAGGGTCAGATCCAAAGACAGAGAAACAGCAACCAGAGGGAAAGTAGGGGAGGGTGGGGGTAAGGGGAAAAGATCAACCAAAGGACTTGTATGCGTGCATATAAGCCAAACCAATGGACATGGACAACAGGGGGATGAGAGCATGAGTGGGGGGGAGGGGGAAAGTTAATGGGGGGGATGATGACACATTTGTAATTCCTTAACTAATAAAGAATCCTATCTAATAGACAAACATGGTAATTAACTGTACCTCTGACATGCTTCCCATTGGTTAATCAGGGTGATATGCAAATTAACTGCCAACCAAGATGGCAGCCGGCAGCCAGGCAGCTGAAGTGAACAGGAGGCTTGTGATGGAGGAAGCCAAGGTTCCCCGCCTGCAACAGCCCAGCTCTGAGCTGCACTCTAAGAAACAATGTTGCAATTATAGAAGCTAGACAAACCCCAGAAACCTGCTTTCAGCCAGCCGGGCTTCAGAGCTGGAGCTGCAACAGTGTTTCAATTATAGAAGCCAAACAAACCCTGATACCTGCTTTCAGCAGCCAAGGTCTCAGAGCTGGAGCCGAGCCTCAGAGCTAAAGCCAGCTCTCAGTTCCAGTGATAGCCATAGAAGGTAAATGAATCCCAGAATTAAAAAAATAAGAAAAAAAGGAGAGGTTGGGAGCTTCAGTCACCCGCCAGCCTGAAAACGGCCCTTGGTCCCTCACCCAGACTGGCCAGGCACCCCAGTGGGGACCCCCACCCTGAAGGGGGTGTGACCAGCTGCAAACAGCCATCATCCCCTCATCCAGGCTGGCCAGGCACCCCAGCGGGATCCCCACCCTGATCTGGGACACCCTTCAGGGCAAAGCAGCCGGCCCCACCCGTGCACCAGGCCTCTATCCTATATAGTAAAAGGGTAATATGCAAACTGACCCTAAAAGCAGAAGGACTGGGAATGACTGGTCACTATGACACACACTGACCACCTAGGGGCAGACACTCAATGCAGGAGCTGCCCTCTGGTGGTCAGGGCGTTCCCACAGGGGGAGCTCTGCTCAGCCACAAGTCAGGCTGATGGCTGCCAGTACAGCGGTGGTGGTGGGAGCGTCTCCTGCCTCCTCAGCAGCGCTAAGGATGTCTGACTGCAGCTTAGGTCTGCTCCCCGCTGGCAAGTGGACATCCCCCGAGGGCTGCCGGGCTGCCAGAGGGATGTCTGATTGCCATCTTAGGCCCAATCCCCCAGGGAGCAGGCCTAAACCAGCAGGTGGTCATCCCCTGAGGGAGTCCCAGACTGCGAGAGGGCACAGGCCCGGCTGAGGGACCCCCCTCCCCGCCGAGTGCACAAATTTTTGTGCACCGGGACTCTAGTTTGCAAGATTAAAAAAATAAAAATAGAAACTGCTATCAAAACTAATTGTTAAATGAAAGCTTTATATGCTCTGGCAAGTAATAAAGCCATTTCTAGAAAAAAATAAAAAATAAACGTTCCTGGTCTTGGCTTCAAATAAGATCTCAGTAAGAACTAGTCCAGATTGCAATGCCAGGGCTTGCTGCTTCAGAAAACTCTAAGGCCAGTTAATTCAGGCATGCTCTCCACTTCTCCTTGGCATCCCAGCCTCTTCTCTTCCAGGAATTTCTTACTGCCCTCCTGGAATCCCATTCATGATCTAAGTATTCTTAACATGAAAAAGAAGTCTGCATCAATGCCTCTCAAACCTCTGGGGCACCAACATCAACTATAGTGCTAATTAAAACATATTCCTGGCCTCCCAGACTACCTGGACTGGGGTAGATCTGGGAATCTTCCTTTTGAACAAGTCCTCAAAGGATGCTAATACTGTGGGACCACACTTGGAGAACCGCTGCTCTAATCTCTAGCCTCTTACTGGAGTCTTCCTCCACTTCTTGCTTTAACTGGGATCTGGGCAGCCCCTGCAAGTTAACTACTATCCCCTACTCTCGCATCTCGACTTCTCTGTCTTCTGTTTCTGACCTAGATTCTAGAGTGCATCACTTAAGCCTGTCATCACTCTTGACATGTGGGCCTTTTTTATTGAATTTATTGGAATGACATCTATAATAAAAGCATAATATGCTAATTAGACCAGACATCCTCCTGGATGTCCTTCCATCCAATGAATACATGAATAAGTGGAACAAGTCAATGTCTCTTTCTCCTCTCTCTCTCCCCCTCCTCTCCCTTTCTCCTTATCTTCCTCTCTCCCTTCTTCCCTCCCTTTCCTTTGTCTTTATTAATAAAAAAGTCATGCCATAACTGGTTTGGCTCAGTGGATAGAGCGTCAGCCTGCGGACTCAAGGGTCCCAGGTTCAATTCCGGTCAAGGGCATGTACCTTGGTTGCGGGCACGTCCCTAGCACATCGATGTTTCTAACTCTATCCCTCTCCCTTCCTCTCTGTAAAAAAATCAATAAAATATTTTTAAAGTCAATAAAAGTTATATAGCCTTAGTCAGTTTGTTCAGTGGAGAGAGTTGGGCCTTCGGACCAAAGGGTCCAGGGTTCGATTCTGGTCAAGGGCACATACCCTTGCAGGCTCCTCCCCGGCATGGGCCCTGGTCTGGGCTCTTGCAGGAGTCAACCAATCAATGTGTTTCTCTCACACCAGAGTATCTCTGTCTTCCCTCTATTCCACTCTCCCTAAAAATCAACGGAAAAATATCCTCGGGTGAGGAATGAAAACAAAAAAGCTCTGGGGTAGGTAAACACATGGAAGTGCTGGGAAGACTTATATGCCTGGAGCAGGCATGGAAACTCCACACCCTTTCCCCATACCTTGCCCTATGCATCTCTTCCACTTTTAATTTAGTTTGCGTACCAGGATCTGCTTCAGCAAAACCAAACCCAAGAAAAGGGACACTGGAACCTCCAAGTTATAGCCAGTCTGTCAGAAGCACGGTGATAACCTGGGCATGTGAGTGGGTCTGTAGGGTGGTGGGCAGTCCTGTAGGACTGAGCTCTTAACCTGTGGGGTGTGAGCTCAGACAACATTGGGTACTCACATGCTCATATCCTGCCTGCAGACACTCCTCATGGCTCTCCCATCACACCCCACATGTGCAACACCACTTCCTGCTCTTCCAAATAAGTCCTCAGTAACCTTTTTGGCATCTAGTGAGACTTAACCTACACCATTTATTGGAAGGTTGGCCCTACAAATTGACCAAGTAACCACCTATGTATTTGTATAAAGACTGTTCCTTTAAAACTTCCTTTCTAGGAGCAGGCACTGGATGGAAGTCCATGGCACTAGATGGACAGTGCTATTATCCAGGACCTGCTATGTGCCTGGTCCCCATCTATTAAAATGAGCAAGACACTCTATTCCTTATCTAAGGGTCCCTGGAAATTATAAGACAGAAGCACACACAAATGACCCAAATCTATAGTTGTGTTATCACAAACATGGAATTCAATTTACTTTTATAACATCAAATTCACTCCAAAGACTTCACTTTTGTTTCTGGAACAGCTTTATTAGTTGAAATTAAGACATCACATGCTCTAGCCCATCATGATACACTTAGTTCTTCTTTGTAGCTGGAACTCAGTAATTTGTTTCCTATGAATGGAATACACACCCTAGCCAGTGGAAAGAATGTACTGAAGGGTCCAAGGTTCGATTCCAGTCAAGGCCATCCAACTCAGTTGCAGATCGGCCCTGGCTGGGCATGTGCAGAGGCAACCAAACCATGTGTCTGTCTTCCTTCCACTCTCTCTAAAAATCAATCGAAAAATATTCTCAGATGAGGATTAACCAAAAAAAGAGGAATACAGAGAATCATTACCCATTTTTCCTTTCTACCTTTCAGATAAAACCAAGGCTCTTGACATTTTGCCTGTGCTTAGTTATCAGTCTTTCCTTTATGCCACTGCGGGCAGGATGTCCTTTAGATGGCTGTAAAGCAACTGAACCCTGACATCCCAGGACTAGGTGCTGGAGGAATGGCAGGGATACTCAATATCAAGGCTCAGTGTAAAGGAAGATACTAAACTTCCAGTACCCGGCTCTAAACTGGGACACTTAATAGAGTGCCGGCCCGAGGCCTGAAGGGTCACGGGTTCAATTCTGATCAAGGTTATGTACCTCGGTTGTAGGCTTGATCCCCAGCCAGTTGGGAGGCAACCAATCAATGTGTGTCCCTCTCTCTCACATCGATGTTCCTCCCTCCCTATCTCTCCCTGTCCCTTTCACTCTCTTAACAAAATAATAATAATAATCCCATATAAACCACAACTTACTATCATTAGCAACATCAGGAATTAAATGTGAAACACCATAAAAATAACATTCCACAGAAGAGAATATCTTTGGCTCCAATACATTCTGCAACCTAGTGTCTATAGATATGCCTGTTACCCAGTTAGAATGGTGACAATTTTCATTTGCCCAACAGCAGAGTTAAATCTACAGCCCCCTGTCCTGACTACTCAACCCAGCTCTCCATTACCATTACCTCCCAGCCATCATCTGCTATGACTCTGTCTCACCTCTAACTTGGGATCTTCTTTGCAAATTCTACAAATATGGGCACCTAGAGCTTAAGTGAAAACTCGATTTTAAAATGGAGAATTCTCATTGATCCTGCTGCCTTTGGACCCAGGACCCAAAAGGAAACCACTAGACAACTAAGGAGGCTGAGCCCATTAGTCGCTTATATTTACTCCTGAGACAATGTCATGGAGTCCAATGCCTCCTGGGTGATGCTATGTTCTGTCAGAGACTTGTTGTCATATATTTCACAGTCCTCTTTTTTGGTAAGGATAACGGGGTCATAGAGGTGCCCTCACACTCAGCATTCTTCTCGTTGATATTACTGCTCCAGGGCCAGACAAGTAGAGAATACAAATAGCTTCCCCAGGATTCTTCCTGATCAAACCTTTCTTTAGAACTGGGACCACTAACTTCTTCTACAAAGACCCATTCTATCTCACACGCTTCATCTTCCAACTCACACTCATCTGAAATGTTCAAAGAAGTAATTTCTTTGGTCAAGGTCGCAGTGTCATTCTTTCCTTTTAAGAACGCAGTCCTGGCCTCATGTAATTTCCTGCTCCTGGGCATCTTCCTCGGTCCCGCTGTTGTGCAGTTCGGTGACTCTTCACCTATCAAGGGCATTTGCTCAGGGGAGTTCTCCAGCTCTGCATCTTCCACCCAACCTATTTCACAATGGATGGATTCATTGATTTTGTTAGACTGGGTCAACTGGGCAGTGGAGGGCCTGCTGTCCTGCTCTCCTACCTCCTTTCTACCCAGGATGCCACACAGCACTGACTCTTCCGCTGTTCCCTTTCTCCCTCCTGGTGATGACGCAGGGGATCTCTCCAGCTCTGCATCCTCCAGCCAGCTCATGTCACACTGAATGGCTACATCGACTTTGTTAGAGTGGGCCAACGGGGCAGCACCGGGCATGTGCCCCTGAGGGCAGCTGTCCATCTCTCCTTCTTCTTCACACATTTTCTCCAGGGAAGGGTCTTCACCCCCATGAGGGTTACATACCACACTCCTACTTTCACAGGAACTCTGTGAAATCTTATTGTGCCACAACTGCTGAAGTTTAGTCTGAGGCCCTTTCGTGCTCATTTTTTCCCCATGGCCACTGTAGTACCAGAAATTAGGTCTTTGGTTAGGTGTAGTGGGCAAAGGGGACTGTGGTGGGAGGAAGTCCAAATACTTCCTGGGTACCAGTGACCATGGAAAATACAGATTTCCATTTCTGAATCCTAGAAAGAAAACATAGTAATTATTTTGTCTCCTGCAGCAGTCACAACATATAGCCAGTAAGCACCTGTATGGCCACATACAGTTATCAATCAGTAATTAATGGTCCTGAGGGGAGAGGGATAGAGAGATAGAAAGATCAATGGTGAGAGAGAATCATTGATCGACTGCCTCCTGCATGCCCCACACTGGGGATCGAGCCTGAAACCTGGGCATGTGCCCTTTCTGGGAATTGAACCGTGACCTCCTGTTCATAGGTCAATGCTTAATCACTGAGCCACACCAGCCAGGCCATAATGACTTTTTAAAGAAACTAAGAAGCCCTAAACGGTTTGGCTCCGGCCTGCGGACTGGAGAGTCCCAGGTCAAGAGCATGTACCTTGGTTGTGTTTCTCTCTCATCGATGTTTCTAACCCTATGCCCTGTCCCTTCCTCTCTGTAAAAAAAAAAAATCAATAATCTACACTAATAAAAGAGAAACATGGTAATTGGCGTACGACCACTACCCTTTTCATTGGCTAATCAGCGAGATATGCAAATTAACTGTCAGCCAAGATGGCGGCCGGCAGCCAGGCAGCTTGAAACTAACATGAGGCTTGCTTGCCTCAGTGACAGAGAAAACCAACGTTCCCCGCCTGCGGCTGCAGGCCTCTGAGCCTGCAGTTTCAAACATTGTAACAAATACCACTGGAATTCAGCCAGCAGATTCGCAACATTGTATGCAAAGGCCAGAAACCTACTTTCAGGAGCGGAGGCCTAAGAGCTGGAGCCAAGCCTCAAGCTAAAGCTGGCCCAGAATAAAAAAAAAAAAAAGGAAAAAAGGAGCGTTTGGGAGTTCAGTCACCCCCAGCCTGAAAACAGCCCTCAGCCCCTCACCCAGACTGGCCAGGCACCCCAGTGGGGACCCCCACCCTGAAGGGTGTGTGACCAGCTGCAAACAGCCATCATCCCCTCACCCAGACTGGCCAGGCACCCCAGTGGGGACCCCCACCCTGAAGGGTGTGTGACCAGGTGCAAACAGCCATCATCCCCTCACCCAGGCACCCCAGTGGGGACCCCCACCCTGATCCAGGACACCCTTCAGGGCAAACGAGCTGGCACCCACCCATGCACCAGGCCTCTACCCTATATAGTAAAAGGGTAATATGCCTCCCAGCACCGGGATCAGCGGAGCCGAGAGGCCTCCCGGCACCGGGATCAGCATGACAGGGGGCAGCGCCCCAACCCCCTGATCGGCCCTGCTCTGTGGGTGATAGAGGGCGGTGCCCCAACCCCCTGATGGGCCCTGCTCTGTGTGACGGGGGCATCGCCGCAACCTCCCCATTGACCCTGCCTTGAGTGTGACAGGGGGCGGTGCCCCAACCCCCCAATCGGCCCTACCCTGAGCGTGACTGAGGGTGGCATCGCAACCTCCCAATCTGCCCTGCTTTGTGCATGACAGGGGAAGGCGCCCCAACCCCCCAATTGGCCCTGCTCTGAGCCCAACCAGGGGCTGCACCTAGGGATTGGGCCTGCCCTCTGCCACCCGGGAGCAGGCCTAAGCCAGCAGGTCGTTATCTCCCGAGGGGTCCCAGACTGCTAGAGGGGGGCACAGGCCAGGCTGAGGGACCCCTTCTTCCCCCCAAGTGCACAAATTTTTGTGCACCGGGCCTCTAGTATATAATAAAGATTTAAAGAGACCAAGCCCACAGTAAGCACAAATTCATTACTGCCCTGATAACAGAATAATTAATGTCAGGCCTTACAAAATAAAGATCAAAAAAAGTTCTTTAGATCTCAAAAGCTTATTAGATCTACTTATTCATTCACACACACCTTCCCCCACTTCCACTCTTCAGGGCAATTGTGTCAGTAACACCATAAACACATTCTTGGGAAAGGAAAGACACATGTATATGATTGACAAATGAAGGTAAGAGAAAACTTCTAGTATATAAATGAAGCAATAGTTATGTTCAAATCAGTGTTCATGAGGCAATTTAGTCAATATTGTGGGGCTCATCTTTTGAACTCAAATTCACTGTGCAAAAATGTATCAAAGTGCCTTTTGTAACGTACCTGGCATATTTTTTATTTATGTAAGCATTTGGGTTTTCCCCTTTAATGAAGGGAGAAGAAAGCCTTCCCTCTTCTGTTACTAATACAAAAGACTTCATGCCTCTCCAGGTTTTCACATGAGTAAGTAGTAACCTTCCTGACCTATCTCCCAGCCTATACTCCATACCACTGCCAGAATAATGCTTCTGATCCACTCCCTCCAGCACAGTACTTGAATGTCTTTTCACAGCCTAAGCTCCTCAGCTCATTATCTGGAGTCTCACTGTATCATCTCATTACTCCCCACAAACACCACAGGCTCTAGCCATATGTGGGTTCCTCCACTACACCAACTCTCTTCCCTTTTTGGGACCCTTCCCATTCCCCTCCAACTGCTACCAAAACCTAGGCACCAGGAGGTCACAGTTCAATTTTCAGTCAGGGCACATGCTGGGGTTGAAAGCTCGGTCCCCAGTGTGAGGCGTGCAGGAAGTAGCTGATCAATTATTCTCTCTCATCAGTGATGTTTCTATCTCTCCCTCCCTTCCTTTCCGAAATCACTAAAAAAATATATTTTAAGTCATTTTTATTTAGTTTTTGTTTTTAATCCTCACCTAAGGATATTTTTCCATTGATTTTTAGAGAGAGAAGAAGGGAGAGAGAAAGAAGGGAAAGACAAAGAGAAACTCTGATGTGAGAGAAACACATCAATTGGTTGCCTCCAGCACACGCCCCAGTCAGGACCCCGGGGCCAGGGAGGAGTCTGTAACCAAGGTACATGCCTTTGACTAGAATCAAACCCGGGGACCCTTCAGTCTGAAGGCCGACTCTCTATTCACTGAGTCAAGCCAGTTAGGGCAATATTTTTTTTTTTAAATATATTTTGTTGATTTTTTACAGAGAAGAAGGGAGAGGGATAGAAAGTCAGAAACATCGATGAGAGAGATTGATCAGCTGCCTCCTGCACACCCCCTACTGGGGATGTGCCCGCAATCAACGTACATGCCCTTGACCAGAATCGAACCTGGGACCCTTGAGTCCGCAGGCCGATGTTCTATCCACTGAGCCAAACCGGTTCGGCTAGGGCAATATTTTTTAAGGAAAATAAAGAGAGTGGGAGAAGATGTATTTTATTTTAGACAGAGCAAGAAAAGTCTTCAGGGGTAAAGAGGGGCATTACCTAAAAGTCAATTGTTCACTGAGACATAACAATCCCTTCTATGCCTTTAACAGAAGGTGAAACTACAGGAGCGGGGCAGGCTAGAATGGGTCAATGGGGGAAGAAAAGGGGACCTATGTAATACTTTCAACAATAAAGATTTAATTAAAAATACAAACTACAGGAGGCAAAATGTAACAAGGTCTGCTCTTAGACCACAACTGAATTAATGTAGAAAATAATAAGGTAGCTGGAAAAATCCCCAAATATTTTGAGATTAAACACACTGTTGAACACATGAGGGAATGAAGTCTTAGGAGAAATTAAATATTTTGAACATAAAAGCAGGGAAATTTATACCATTGAATGCATGTATTAGAAAAGATCTAAAAATCTGCCTCTTTCTGCCTTCCTCTCTTAAAAAAAAAAAAGAAAAAGAAAAAAAATCATTTAACATACCCTCAGGTGAGGATTAAAAAAATAATAAATAAAAATCACCTAGCTTCTAACATAGGAATCTAGGAAAATAGAGTAAATTAAATCCAAAGAAATAAAAATTAAAGCAGAATCATTGAAATTGAAAACAGGAACTCAATAGGGGAACCACTACCAAAAACTGATACACTAAAAAGAGCAAAAATTGATAATCCTCGCCCTAACCGGTTTGGCTCAGTGGATAGAGCGTCGGCCTGTGGACTCAAGGGTCCCAGGTTCGATTCCGGTCAAGGGCATGTACCTTGTTTGCGGGCACATCCCCAGTAGGGGGTGTGCAGGAGGTAGCTGAACGATGTTTCTCTCTCATCGATGTTTCTAACTCTCTTCCCACTCCCTTCCTCTCTGTAAAAAAATCAATAAAATATATTTTTTTAAAAAAATTGATAATCCTCTAGCCATGCTAAGTAAAAAGACAAAAATTATGAATATCAGAAATGAGAATGCATAGCTGCCAAAACCATGGGCATTTCTTCATCTGTACTATTGACACAATTTTCATGATCTAGATAAAAATGGCCCAATTCCTTAAAAGACAATATTTGCCAACACCCAACTGAAAATGGACTGCGTAGGTCTATATTTATTAAAGAACTTGAATAATAACCTTCCAAAACAAAAAACATCAAATCCAACAGGCTCACGTTTAAAGAAAAAATCAAAAATAGATCAATGAAACAACACAGAGAACCCACAAATAGACCACATCAACATAGTCAACTGGTCTTTAACTAAGTAGTAAAGGCAATACAAACTGTTCTCCTCTCACAATTTGTTCCTCAGCACAATCAAAATAGCATTTCAACATCCCTATTAGTTAGGGGTCTCCAGAAAGAGCCAAGGGAGCATTTATATACAGAAAAAAACTTTTCTTTAAGGAATTGGCTCATAGGGAGAGGCAAGTCCAAAATCCTCCAGGTAGGCAGCCACACCAGAGACATAGCTGGCGTCCCTATGCCATATACTGATAGAATTCCTCTTTGCGTGGACTGCAACTTTGAAATTGCCATCAACAGCTCCTACTACCCAGTGGGGAGTAGTCACTGATAAACTCAAATACACTCCTTATCACACCTAGTTTTCTACTTGGGAAGAGATGAGTAGCGTCCACAACATGCTTTATCTACAGAAGGGGACACAAGAATAAGGGTAAGGCCCCGGAGACACTCTTTGCTACTGCAGATAAGAGAATCAATCACTCCTACTCAGTTTACAGCCGCCCGCCCTACATACCTCCTTACTGCTCTCCTTAAACCCCGCTTACCACTAATTGAGATAGATAGATAGATAGATAGATAGATAGATAGATAGATAGAAATTTTTTTTAATTTTTTTTTAAGAGAGGGGAATGGAGAGGGAGAGACATCAATGTGATAGCCTCCCATCATGCCCAGACCAGGGATCGAAACTGCAACCTGGGTATGTGCTCTGACCAGGAATCAAACCCATGACCCTTCAGTGCACAGGATGATGCTCCAACCAACTGAGCAACACGGGCCTGGGCAAATCCCCTTCCCTTTAAAACACTTATTCTTCCCAGGGCATTTTTTTCACTTCGATGTAAAAGTTTTCGCAATGTGTAGGCCTTGATGAAACAATGATGGGAGCTCTGAGGTAACTCTTCCAACCAGACTGGTCTCAGAGCATGAGGTTTTGGCTGGACTACTGTGTGACCCAGGCAATTCACTGCCTGTCCTGGCTCCGTCCGCTTATCTGTGAAGCAAGCACAGCAATACCTAGCTCGCGAGGTTGTTGGAGGGGGCATGAGAGGAGCACTCCTAGTATTCAGCAGAGTTCCTGGCATAAAGCTAGAATCACATTTTACCTATTGATGGGAACTTCAAGCACTGCCCCTCTGAGCTGCCACCAGGGAGAAGAAACGTGCATGAAAACCTTCGGGCGCTGGGGACACCAGAAGACCTTCCGGCCTCGGTCTGGGAGGGCGCCCGAGCCCATCGGACTCCAGTGCAGAGTCCTTACCTGCCCCGGGGACAGAGGGTGTGTGACGGCTGTAATTCTGGCCGCAGCACTTCCGGCGAGGCTGCCGGGCCCGGCCATGCAGGTAATGGAAGGGTGTGGGTTTGTTTTCCTCGGAAAGTCTCTTTTCTTCCGAAGAGTTCATCTTCTAGGCTGGAAAACAGAGGGTCGCCTTGAGGAAAGGCCCGTCGCACTCTGCCGGGTAGAACGCTGTGAGCGTGGAGAAGTCCCCCCAGTCCCCCTTCCTAGCTCCGAGCCTGGGTGCCGGTTCCTGACCTTCTCTTCCCGCTCACCGGACGGATGGACTGCAAGGCCGCCGAGGGGCGCTGCCCACAGCCCGGACCCAGGTGGAGACAAGGAAGTCGAGGTTCGGGTCCCGCCGCCGCCCCGTGGGAGACGAGGCCTCGGAGACCGGGGACTGCAGTGCGGCCTGGAACCCCGGGGGCTGCCCTCCGGGGCCGGCCGCGCTGTCCTCGTGCCCGGGCCCTTCCCACGTGCCCAGCCTCCCCAGGCCCAGCCCCTCGTCGGTTCCGGGGTAAATCCCAGGGCTCAGGGCTCAGCGTCTCCTTAGCCAGGACTCAACTGACGCCACACACACACACACACACACACACACACACACACACACCCACACACGCACGCTCACCTGCCCTGCAAGCTAGTGTTGCCCTGCCCGCCGCACACCCTCCGCAGGGCCCCTGCCTGCCCTGGGCACACCGACCTGCTCTATTCCGAAGTCTGCGACGCCAACCTCTCCCTGGCCTCACTCCTGCAACCACGAACGTCTGCGGTGTTTGCGCCGCCCTCGCCCGCCCTTATATGCGCCCCAGGGCGGCACGTGCTGCGTGCGTGTTGCGCAGGCGCAGACCTTCCCCGCGCATGCGCCCTGGGCAAGGACGCCCCTCCCCCTCGTCCAGTCGCTCTGCCGGGCCGGCTAAAGCGCCCCGGGGCCTGCGTGGGACCGAGTAGAGCCGCTGGCGCTGCACCGTCCCCGCGGGGCAACCTTAACCTTCCCTGCGGGCCTACCTGTTGCGTAGACGCCTGCCCGCCCGGGTGTTGGCTCCTTCCCAGAACTGGGCAGTTCCTTGTCCCCCTCACAGTTCTTACCTCCCCCTCCATTAGTGCTTTGTTGTTGTTGTTTCTATTTTTTATATTTATTTCAAAGAGGAAGGGAGAGGCAAAGAGAGCAACAGCAATGTTGAGAGCGAATCATTGATGGCTGCCTCCTGCACGCCCCCCACTGGGGATGAGCTCACAGCCCCCGCATGTGCCCTTGACCTGAATAGAACCCGGGACCCTTCGGTCTGCAGGACAGCGCTCTATCCACTGAGCAAACCAGGTAGGGCTGTGTTTTTTGTTTGTTTTTTTGCTTTCAAAATATATTTTTATTGATTTCAGAGAGGAAGGGAGAGGGAGACAGAGATAGAGACATCAAGGATGAGAAAGAATCGTGGATTGGCTGTTTCCTGCGCGCCCTCCTGGGGATGGAGTCTGAAACACAGGCATGTGCCCCGACTGGAAATCTAACCCTGATCTCCTGGTTCCTGGGCTGACGCTCAACCACGGAGCCACCCCCACCCGCCAGGCAACTGCTTGACCTTCTTAAAGTATTTTACTGCCTTCTCTCCCCAAACTTCTCTATGTTCATATTTTCCAGATTATAGTCCTAAGGTTTCTTCCCTTTTATGCCACCTTCACATTTTCACCCATTCTCGGCGCTTCAAATACAACCGACATAGTGCTCCCTCCCAAATCTCCGTCTCCATTCTATCTACTAGATATTTATATCTCAACAGAAGACTTCTCCTGTCAGGACATGCACAACTGATGAGTTCTGTACACATCTTGGCGGGGGAAGCAACATGCCGGCATACTGTTAACCTCCACAGGTGGCATACCGGTTGGGAAGCTCTATTAGACATGTGTGTATGGATAATGTGTTATTTAGACAATACGTACAGTTTCCCACCCAGCCCAGTACATGGAGCTGTTGTAGGCTTGGAATTGTTGTCCCTGGCAGTATTTTTGAACCACAACTACTTTATGTTGCCAACAGTTGGAGAACCGTAAGATTTAATAATCATTAGGTCTGGGGGCAGGGTGCATAATCTTAAAGAACCTGAAATAAACTCTCTGAATCGAAGGCCTTTCAACCTCCTCTTGGTGGCAGGTTAGGGCCAAGATTTTCCTTAGAAATAATGTATTAGTTTCAGTGCAATTTAATATCTCCTGCTCTTCTTTCCATATATGATTTTCTTCTTTTACTTTTCCCTCTAGAATCTACTGTTTCATTCTAGGCAAAAGCAACAGATGAAGAAAAATGTACTATTTCTATATACATTGAACAATAGGGTTGTTATAATGTTTGCTTTTTTAGAGGCCAAAGAACTAAATATATATATATATATATATATATATATATATATATATATATATATAGTATATGCCTGTATATTAATTAAAGCAAATACAAATTTTAAATAGTAATGATAGTGAACTAAAGTATTTTAAAAATCAATTTAAAATACAAAGTTGCATAAATAAAATAAAATAAAATACAAAGATGCAAAGAAATACCCAGCTGACATGGCTCAGTGGTTGAGTGTTGACCTATTACCCAGGAGGTCACAGTTCAATTCCAGGTCGGGGCATATGCCAAGGCTGGGGGCTCAATCCCCAGTGGGAGGTGTGCAGGAGGCAAGCCGATCAATGACTCTCATTATTGATGTTTCTATCTCTCCCTCTCCCTTCCTCTCTGAAATCAATAAAATATATTTTGAAAAAAAGGATGCAAAGAGGGTGTGGTGTTAAGGCTGAATTGCATCCTCTTAAAATTCATATGTTGAAGTCAAACCCCGAGGACCTCAGAATGTGACTGTATTTGGAGATAGGTAATTAAGGTATAATGAGACCATATGTGTGGGCCCTAACCCAATATGGCCTTATCAGAAGATGAGAATAAGAAGCAGAGTTCCTGAAACCCTTAGAATTTTCTGAATAATAGAGAAGATTCTTGTTTTCATAACAAGCCCTTTTGACTCCATTTCAGTTTGTGCTAATGAGGGCCACAGGGACTGGGTGGAGGGTAACCACCAGAAACACCAAACCAAGATGAGAGTTTGAGCTTTCAGTCCCTTCTCCCACCTCCCCAGAAAGGAAAGGCGCTGAAAATTGAGCTCAATAAAAACTTGAACAAGAAATTTGGAGAGCTTCCAAAGTGGTGAATACTTTTCCCACCAGATTCGACTGTTTTCATAATAGTTGAGAGGAATGAGCTACATAAAAACAGGCTAATCCACTGATGTGACGGGAAGGAAAGGGCATTGAAGCCCTGTGCCATTTCCCAACTTCCTCATATCTTCCACTTGATAAGTGGGTAAATATGAGTAAAATGCTCGCCTGAGTTCTTTGAGCTGTCCTAGTGAATTTGTAAACCTAAGGAGAAGATACTGGGACTCACTCCCCCTCAATTCGTAACCTGGGCACCCCATTTGAGCCTGGTACCCATTTGAAGTGGTGGTGTCAGATTGAATTGAATTCTTGGACACCTACTTGCTGCCTGAGAATTAGTTGTTTGAAAAAGACACACTTGGTATTAGGAAACGCATGGGATTTGCTAGAACTTCCCTAGCTCTGGTTAACCTGTGGTTTGGGAAAGTGGATGAAGGGGATGGGGGTGTTAATGAAGAATATTTGATTCCTGATTGACCTCGTGGTCACCCCTGGTATGGAGCAGTAGGTGTCTGGCTAAACTAAACGTTACCAATGGGATTTAGGGATGAACTCAACTCCTAGGGAGTTGATTCATTTGATGTTTAAGGAAACGCAAACTAATAAGAAAAAAAATTAAAGTATATACTCCTTTGGTTACTGTCATCTGTAATGGCTGAAATTAATGAAGAGAGAGCCTGATTGGAACATGATGCTGGTACAACTGAAAGCACCTGTGAAACCTCTGGTCACCAAGAAACTAGTGCACACGGACGGAGAACAAAACCAAGACACCTAGTTCCAGGTTCTGCAAGAGATTGGAACGAACAAGTATATGTACTTCTGTGCTTGTTTAAAATGGCCACCTGGGTGGATTGGACATTGGAGGGACTGTAGCAATGCAGAGATAGGCTGAATGTAGATATATTCCTCTATACCAGTGGTTCTCAACCTTCTGGACTTTTAAATACAGTTCCTCATGTTGTGACCCAACCATAAAATTATTTTCATTGCTACTTCATAACTGTAATGTTGCTACTGTTATGAATCGTAATGTAAATATCTGATATGCAGGATGGTCTTAGGACCCCTGTGAAAGGGTTGTTGGACTGCCAAAGGGGTTGCAACCCACTGGTTGAGAACCGCTGCTCTGTACCCTTGAAGGTACAAAAATGCCAATAAAACTGTGCTGTTTACTGACCAAGAGGCAGAGTCTACAGCTAGCCATGTGACAGATTCCCAGGGGGGAAGGCCTTGAATATGGCTGGTAAGTCAGATGCAAGTGGCCCTAGGGAGCTGCAAATGGGTCTTGATAGATCCCAAGGGTATTATGCTGAACAAATCAGTGGTTTCCAGGGGATTAGGTGTGAGGTTAAGGCAGGACAGTAAGACACTAAGGAGATTCCTTGACAAGTGGAATAAGGGAAACTGAGACAATATAATTAAACAAGGCCAAAGGATCTGAGCAATTTACAGCCAGCTAATGAATCACAAAGTTTTATCTTTCCTAACCAAGGACACTAAGGAGCATATGGTTTATTTTTCCAAACCATCCCTCTTCAATGATGTTCTTTTTTTTTTAATCCTCACCCGAGGATATTTTTCCATTGATCTCTTAGAGAGAGTAGAAGAGAGAGGGAAAGACAGAGAGAAACATCGATGTGAGAGAAACCCATTGATTGGTTGTCTCCTGTACACATCCTACCAAGGCCTGGGCCAGGGAGAAGCCTGCAACCAAGGTACAGTTGAACCTGGGACCCTTAGGTCCGCAGGCCAATGCTCTATCCACTGACCCAAACTGGTTAGGGCTTCAATGATGTTCTTGATGACATTCTTTAAAATGAAACTAACTAGAAAAATAACCCCTGACCCCTCTATTGCATTTTTTAAAAATATATTTTATTGATTTTTTACAGAGAGGAAGGGAGAGAGATAGAGAGTCAGAAACGTCGATGAGAGAGAAACATCGATCAGCTGCCTCCTGCACATCTCCCACTGGGGATGTGCCCGCAACCCAGGTACATGCCCTTGACCGGAATCAAACCTGGGACCTTTCAGTCCGCAGGCCGATGCTCTATCCACAGAGCCAAACCGGTTTCGGCTGCATTTTTTTTTAAGAGAACACTTAATTTGGTAAATCACAGAGGTAGAAGAAGTAACTCCTAGCAGAAATGGGCTTAGGAAACAAGTGATAAGAGGGGAAAAAAGGACCCCTGGAGCTTGGGAGTGAGGAAGCTAATGGGGACGTGTGTGGGGCAGGGAGGGGTTAGAAGGAAAAGGGAACTGCAGGTGTGGCACAGAGACAAGGGCTCCCCCAAGGCCACACTGGTTGCTGGCCCTGGGCTCACCAGGCAGCTCAGTTGGTTAGAGCATCCTCCCATCCGCCAAGGTTTCAGGTTTGATCCCCAGTCAGGGCACACATAAGAAGCAACCAATGAATGCATAAATAACTGGGACAATAAATTGATGTTTCTTTCTCCTTTCCTTTCTCTTCCCCCCGCCTTTCCTTTTTCTCTCTCCCTCCTCTCTCTTTTTCTCTTTCGCTCCCCTCTCTTTTCCTCTGTCTCTCCCTCT